ATCAGATCATTTTCAAATCAGCCAGGTAAATCACAGACTGCAGACTATTATAATACAGAGTGGGAATTAGGAAAGGGAGATCAACTATGAAGAAACAAATGTTACTTACTGTAACTGAAAATGCTTTGAGATGTGTGGTCCCTATCTGTATTCCACACGTAGTATGCATGCACGACATGCACCTGAGTCCAGAAATTCTTACAAGCAATGTCTATTGGCCTGCATATGTGCAGCAGGTCTCCTCATACTCCCAACTGAGGGTATAAAAGATGGTGTGGGCCAACTCCTCTCCAGTTCTTTTTACTGTGAATTCAACAGGATCCAAAACAGAGGGAATGGAGGGCGGGTAGTGGAATACAGATAGGGACCACACATCTCAAAGAACTTCCAATTACAATAAGTAACCTCCACTTTTTCTTCAAGTGCTTGTCACTATGTCTATTCCCTGTGTGGGTGACTGACAAGCAGTGCTCAGACTGGAGTTGGGTGTGAGGAAGCCAACAGTAAGGATGTTTGCAGTAATGCAGATCCCACTGCTGCATCCGCAACAGAAGCAAGAACTAATATGTAGTGTATAGCAAATGTGTGGATGGAGCTCCAGGTGGCTGCTTTGCAAATATCTTATATCTGGACCTCCTACAGGAAAGCTGTAGAGGCAGCCTGTGCTCTCGTGGATTGAGCTGTGACACCTCCAGTGGAGGGATGTGTGCTAACCTGTAGCATTCTAGGATGCATCCCGAAACTCACTTACAGATACTTTAAGTGGACATAGTTTGACCATGCAATCTTTCTGATATGGCAATAAAATCTTTGGTGACTTTCTGATTGGTTTGGTTTTTTGCAGGTCAAATGCCAGGGCACACCGGACATCGAGGGAGTGAAGTCTCTTCTCTTTGATGGAAGCATAGGGTTTCAGAAAAAAGACTGCAAGTGGACATTTTGGTTCATATCGAATTCGGAAACAGCTTTGAGAAGAAATGTAAGATGTAGGCGAAGGGAAACCTTCTCCTTGTGAAAAATCATATATGGAGGGTCTGCCATGATGGCTCTCAGCTTGCTGACCCTCTTGGCTGAAGTAATAGCCACTAAAAATGCAACTTTCATGGACAGGTGGGGCATGGAACATATCGCCATGGGTTCAAAGGGAAGGATTCGGAACTGGAAATGTTCCTGGCCCGCCATAAGCTGAAGGAACCTCCTGTGGGAGGGCTGAATTGTTGCCCTAGATTTGAGGGATGTGTGTATGATTAAGCTAATTACAACGATATTATGTGCATTCACCATGAATTAATGAAATAGAACACCATATAGTTAAGGGTTAATTTGAAAACAGTCTTTTAGAGGCAAGGTCAAAACTAGCTGAAGTTTCTGCTAATCAGAATGGGAGGAGGGAAGAGAAAAGTAAATAATTGAGACTGAAAGAAGATAAGTGGATGAAAAACTTTGAGCCTAGGTGCCTCTGATATTAGAAGTTTATTGAAAGTTAGAAAAAGTGATGATCCAGTAGGGATCATTATGACCTATGTGTTTTGCAGAAGTTAATTATAAAAAGCCTAGATAATACAGTGTACTATGGAGCACTCCTCTGGAGCTATCCTTGGAGAGGCGTTTTTCCTGACACTTTTACTCCCTGGCAGGGAGGCATTTGACCAGCGCTGATCCACCATTGATTACTCAATATCCTCTCAGAATTTAGGTAAATATCTGGGATGTTCTAAACCTATTTCTTATTTCTGTGTGTGCTTAAATCTAATAAACTGCAGTTTTAGACAAGAGCATATTTACTTGCATTAAGCTTTGATCAGATGGAATTACTGTGTTCCCATTGATTTATTCCTGACACCACCTGGAGTGAAACAGTTAAGTTACCACTGCTGGGGGTTCTGAAAACCCCGGGTAACAGAATGTCTATATGGAAGTCACATCCTTCATGTCCACAGACACAAACCACATCTCCTCCTGAAGGGAGAGGATTATTGATGCCAACGTAATCATCCTTAATTTTGACTTTTGAATAAAGATGTTGAATTGCCAAAGGTCTCCACCCTCCATCTTTTTGGGAGGACTAGGAAATATGGAGAGTAGAACCCCCCACACACACCCTGGATACTGAGGTTGGATGCATTCTATTGCCCCTCGGTGTAAGAGGGATTCTGCTTCCTGTTGAAGAATCACCTGAAGAGAGACCAGGAAGGGGGCTTGTTAGGGGGAGAAGGAGAGGAACTATATGGCTTATCCCTGATGGATAATCTCCAAAATGTCTGTCATGATTAACCACTGGTTGTGGGCGAAGAGGGTGAGACAGCCTTTAACAGGTGGCTGGGAATGGGTAGACATTGTGGTGGTAGAGGGGACTTAAAAACAAGGCCTCTGAACCCTCTGGCATTTTGTTGGAGGCTCGGCTGGGCACTGCTAATAGAATGCATGAGGAGGCGATGGCCTTGGTTTATAGGTTTGTCTCTGGGGTTTCGTCCTGGGAGCTGGAATGTAGATCCCCAGCGAGTACAGGGTCGATCTCAAGTCCTTTAACAAGTGTAGAGATTCGTCCATTTTCTCATTAAAGAAATTCATTTTCTCATTAAAGAAATCAAATTTATCAGAATTTTCTCATTAAAGAAATTCACTTTATTGTCAAAGGAAAGGTCCTGAATGGTGTTCTGGACCTCCCTGGGAAATCCCAATGATTGTAACCAAGAATCCTTCCTCATGACTATACCAGTGGCCAGACTTCTGGATGCCATATCTGTTGCATCAACTGTGGCCTGAAGGACTGTTTTCACTACTAACTTGCCCTCCTCTATGAAGGACTGAAACTGAGCTCTGATGTCTGTGGGGAGCTTGTCCTTAAAGTTTGCTCACCTGGAATAGTTGTTAAAGTAATATTTTGCTAACAGGACCTAATAGTTAGCGATGCAAAATTCCAGGCTCACAGAGCAGAAGACCTTTATCCCCAGGAACTTGAGACTCATCGGGCCCTTGTCCATCAGAGTGGTCCTTTGATATTGTGAGCTAGCTCTTTCCATAGCTGCCTGTACCACCAAGTTTGGGGCAGGATGGGAGAACAACAATTCAGTTCCCTTGGCAGGGATAAAATAGTGTCTCTCAGCAGTCTTAGGTGTGGGGGCACAGGATGCTGTGGTGTGCCAGACCAATCTATCCAATTCTAGGATGGACTCATTAACCAGAAGGGATACTTTACTCAGTCCTTGAGGTTGCAAGGTATCCAGGAGCCGGTATTGTGGGTTCTGGACTTCCTCCACTGGTATCTGGAGGTCATTGGCAACTCTTTGTATTAGGAGGGGCACTGCTCATCTGAGGGGGCCAATGGATAGGGAAGTCACCATGACCCAGATTGGATAGTGGCCTCATAAACTTCTTCATTCAGTGTTTCCCAAGGCAAAGCTCACAAGCTTCTCAAGTTCTTGGTGGAAACGAGTGACAAATACTGCACTTTGCAGAGATATGCATATCACCCAGACAGTAGATGCAGCACTGGTGTTCATTGCTGATGGAGAAGGAGTCAGGGCAAGAGACATAATTCTTGAATTGCAGGATTCTGGACATAGTCCCAAACAATGGGGAAGGAATCCCCAGCTGGGGAAAAAACAAACTACACTAACTATGCTATAAACTCTAACTATACTAATAGTCTAAGAAGAATAAAACTAGTTACAAATCTATTTAAAGGTTTTACAAAATAGCTGAAGGAAGAGAGGACACACGATTCTGACACAGGCCATGTGGCGGTAAGACGCAACTGGAGAGGCATTGGCCTGCACTGTCTGTCATACCCTTGGTCAGGAACACAAGGATATGGACCAATGGACACTGTTTGAAAGAACTTCTGGACTCGGGCGCATGGCACGCATATGTACCACATGTGAAATACACACAGGGACCAGCATTTCTTCTTCAAGTGCTGCTTTCATGCAAATGTCATTATTAATAAAGAGCTAGAAAACTGAACTAACTATAATATACAATATATGAAGATTACTTCTGAGTTATTTTTTCAAAATTTCCAAGAGCTGATATGAGCAGTTCTTGACATCATGTTGAAGTAATTTTTTCAACATATAACTAGAACCCAGTTTGAAATAAAATACAAAAACAAATAAATGATTTTAAAATAAATATTGAAGACTTACTTCCTCACATGGTTTTGTATCCATTTTCTATTATAATATAAGTATGGCGCTACCCTGCTTTTAGATATGTTATCAGAAACAACATGAAAGCCAAAATTCACCATAAGGGAATAGATCTACAAAAATATTACAAGTATAAAAGAGTTGAATATGATACATAAGCAGAATGTATGGGAAAATGTGACATTTTCTTCTTACACTTCTAATTTTTATATAGTTCTATTCCCTTGTTATTTATTATTGAGGACATCAGCATTAAAATATCTTATTCTTAGTTTATCTGCTCCTTCTGCTTAATTCTTACCTTAAATCATAATCCTCTCTTTGTGAACATCATAATTGGTAGCTGTGGGAAAATGCTTATGATGTAACAGATCATGACAAATAATGATAATTAGATGTTTGCTTGTAATAACTATCGATTGATCAGATCATTTTAAGTGGGTTCTAAACATCATGTAAATCATGCAGACTATCTTAATATTTTGTTGCATAAAACACAAATATTTAAATTGTATATTGTTAATATTTTATGAAAAATGAGGCTTATTACACACATCAGATTTCTATTAATGTTACATAAACTTTAATAGTGTCTTATTTTCTATCAACATTTTTACTAATAAATATTCATCATAAAAACTCTTTAATTTCAAATATTCACAAGAGTAACCCTGAATAAATCACCAAACAGTAACGCAATATTAATATGGTAAAACCCAAAAATAGTAAACATAAACTATCTATATTAATGATTTACAAAACAGTTCAACAATTATCAGAAAAAGTGATTTATGATACTAAAGTCTAATTATCTGTTCTGCTTCAATGTTGGTAAAAGAATCCATGAAATTATTTCAGATATGGGTGAAGCTTTTTGGGTTTAGCTTTTCTTGACAGCCCAATCCTGATAGGGCCACTGCATGTTTTAAGAGGCTGCAGTCTTATAATTTCATGTGACAAATAGTTTCCTAAATATATAAACAAAAGAGAGAGAAATCAATGTTGAAAGCAAAAACATATTTTCATATCATGTACATATAAATTACATTCCTTTAGGACACAGAAATCAACCATGGGTACTATACTGTACACTCGACAGTTAATACTATGGAGATGGATACTATAAAAAATACATAGAAAGATAGAATATGAAGGATATATAGTTTTGTCTGTACCCATAATAAAGACCAAATTATTACATTATACTTCAAACAATCAGAACACAAGTCACTATATTATAAATATGGTCAGGAAAACGTCTTGTTAAGGAGAGCCATTGAGCAGTAGTCTACACCTTTTGGGATTTGACAATACAAGTGAATCAACTAGACAAAACCCCATCTCAAAACCAGATAATAATTAGACCTGAACAAGTGGTGAAGCGGGTTACTCCTCTTGAACTAAAATTTGTGTTAAATATTAATTATATGGAAAAAGAGGGAAGGATGGGAGTGTGCGTGTGTACTGATTGTTTAAAATATAGCTGGAAGCCAGGTCAGAGGAAGTTGGGGAAGATTCTAGACAGCTCTACAGTAAAACAAGGAGAGACAAAGTCGCTTAGGGAGAGTACTGTTTAACTTATTCTAATAAAGTTGCATGGCACATGACAAAATTGTTTACTATATGGAGCCATCCTGCTTGCTCCAAGACTCCCCTGCTGGCTGTTGCTGCCTGCAATTACCAGTTTCAGGGCACAAAGTGGGACAGAGATCATCATTCACTTGTTGATTTCCTAGCAGAGGGGGTTGATGCTGAAGACAATAGCCATGCCTTCCCTCCCACTCCCTGCCCTGAAGTATATCACTGTAGAGTTTCCATGGAAGGACTTCCACAATACTGGAAGCAAAGGGCAAATACAGTTGAGAAAGTGCTCCTTCCTCTTTCTGCATCCCACGCCACTCAACATCCTTGGGGCTTTTGTCCTCTACCTATAGAATAGGAGGGAATGATTTGCCCACCTGTTCTAAACTCAAAGATAAAGTATGAATGACAGGATACCCCCATGCTAATCAACAATTAAAAAGATACGTAATTGCTGTGCTAGAGAAAATGGAAAAAAATAAATAACATACATTTTTGTAATATTTTAATAACACTGGAATGTTTTGCATAATTAGAATAAAAACTTTATTCTTACCTCTTTCTTTCTGAAAACCGTCACGTCTTTCCTTCATAAATGTGTGAGACAAAAAAACAGGGTCCCATGGGAATCGATTTTTACAACCTGAATCAACATAGTCTTAAAACAAAAGCATAAATATCACATTTAACTTTTAAACTGCTATACATAGATAATTAAAAGTTGCAATTTGTACTGCTTGTAAATGTTATGAGTAAAAATGTCACATATATGCATGACATATAATTTAAAAGGTCTGCTTACATAGCATATAAAGCTCTGCATATGCATCATTCATTGTCTGTAGTTCTTGTCTCTCATTCTTTTTCAATAAGACACTTATACAAAAAGACAATTTTACGGCTCATTCTCCTTAATTCTTACCCCTACTTATTATTACACAAAAAGCCATATTAAAAGAACATTATTAAGATTGCAAAGTCAAGCACTCAAAAGTTAAGAAATGCCAGAATTAAGGTTGCCTGTGCAACCTTAATTCATCTCCCTTGCGCAAATATATTATGACACGGTCTTTAATTACATAATCGCATACTATTTTTCCATAGATCCCTGATTCATTCAGAGCACAGGATAGATGATGCTCAAGTAATGAGGATCTATTCAGTATTTTGTTTTATCCTTATTGTTCAATGTGTATCCCTAGGCATTATTTACTGCACACTATTCAAACCCTGCTATGCAGAATTATTAATTTCCTCCTGGACGTTTCTATGGCACTCATCACTATTGTCATTGAGTGCTTCAGAAACATTTATTAATGTATCTTCATAAACTCTCTGGGAGGTGAGGAGCTATTATTATGCCATTGTACAGATAGGGAGCTGAGGCGTAAAAAGATTAAAGTCAAAAGTATGCACTAATTTGGGGTGCCCAATTTGAGATGCCTAGGACCTGATTTTTCAGAGTACTTAGCATTCTATAGCACTTTCTATTGGGAGTTATGCTTTGAATATAACTTCAGTTGCAGCTGTGAGTGCTCAACAGTTCTGCAAATCAGTCTCCAGGATCTCAAATTGGGTACCCAAAAAATGTGGAACACGCAGTTAGTGATCACCTCTGAAAAGTTTGGTTTAAGTGATTTTTTTAGCATCACATAGGAATTCTGTGGCAGAGGAAAGGATAGGATGCTACCCTAGAGAATTGCATGAATTATAGGAAGCAAGTACTGAAGCCTGTGCACTGTACTAGTGACAGTAGCTCAGTACTTATTTCCTATATTTCATAGAACCACTAGGCAGGCTCCTGATTGATCAACTGCTGTCTCAATGCAGCCAGAGCCTGGCAATTCTGTAGATTCCCTTAGAGCTCCCACTCCCATTTTGGACCTTACCTTAATAAAAAAAAATCACAATAAAGCCTCAAACCTTGTAAGGTATGTAAATATGTAACAGTGACCATCATCACAAGCAATATTCATAAAAAGATGTCTGCTCCCATACAATAATTATATTCTAGTGAATATTTTTAAAACTGAAAATGTACTTCTCCTTTACAAAATTAGTTTTGCACTATATACAGAAAGTTATTTCCTTTGTGTTTCTGTAACCCACACACCTCCTGGGTGTGGTGCTCTGTCCCCTCTCTGCTACAGCTTTAGCTAAGGGTCATGTGGCTTGTAAGCTCATGCAGTAGAGGCTTATGTACTAAGCTCCAAAGGCCCCAGGTTCAATCCCACCTGCTAACGACCGGGGTCTGTCAGTGTTACAAGCAGGGGCTCATCTGGGATTTCTGGAGCTCGGGAGGTGCTTCCTCAGCTAGGGAAAGTATGTAACCCACACACCTCCTGGGAGTTATGCCCTGTCCCATCTAGTGGCACCGAGACCACTTAGAGATTAATGAGTCTGCTACAGCCTTAGCTAAGGGGCATGTGACTTTTAGCTCATGCAGTAGAGGCTCATGCATAAACTCCAGAAGCCCCAGGTTCGATCCCACCCGTCGATGGCCGGGGTCTGTAGGTGTTACGTTTCTACTAGAGCGCTGTCTCATAGGATGTGTGCACTGACACATTGCCACTCCTGAAATTCACAAGCTGCAGGAGCTTTGCAGTTGCTCTGCATTTGGGGAAGGATTCTGTCCCACAAATACTTGCACAAACCCAATGGGAAAAGACAATTTTCAATACTTGGGCTTTACATGGGGGACAAAAAAATTGTTCATAAGCTAGAATCCTGCCCTGCTACTGTATGGATAAGAGCTCCTCATTAGTACTAAGGCACCACGTCTCAATAGAACACGCATGTCCTCAGTAGAACACCCTTGGAGCAGAGCACAAAATTTGATTACAAGTATTTATTTAAGTGTTTATTAACATATTAGATAATATTTTTAAATAATTATGTTTGCTTACCTTCTTCAGAAAGTGAATAGAGCAATTTTTCATCAGACACACTTGAAGAACAGAACTCATGAGGTACTTTTTGCTTTACATTTCTATTTAATATTTTTCCTTTAAATGAACTTTGGTTATTCTTAGTTATATTTTGCCCTGCTGTAGTACCATAGATTGGAAAGGAAATGCATACTTTTGTTTGAGAAACACTTTTTAAATTTTCATCTATCCCTTCAGAATTATTCAATTCTTGAGGATTCTCTTGTGGAGTGTTTCTTTCTACTTTGGAGAGCTTATTTTCATGTTCCTTACTAATTTCATGAAACATACAAAGCTCTTCCAACACTAAATCAAATTTGCTCTTCATTTCAAATTCAAATATGTTTTTACTTTGTGAAGGTAAATGCTGATCTGTCATATCTTCAAAACATCCATTGTCCATTGTGGATAAATGTGGTATTAATTTGTTTCCTGATGCAACACATATTGCAGATTCATCTTTTGAATATGACAAAATTAAATTAGTTGATCTACTTCCATGCAGTATAGTCTGATGCTGATTTTTGTTAGTTATATAATGTTGCCCAGAACTTATTTCTCCCACCTCTTGTAAATCTTCAAGATTTTGTTTTATAGTCATTGGCTTTGAATTGAGTGTGCAAAAATTTCTATCTATCTGAATGTCTTCATCTAGAGAAAAAGTCATTGTTTCTTCTCTCTGAACCTTAAAATACATTTTATTATTAGATACTTCAGAACTTCTCACAATTTGGTATTGTAAAATGCTGTTCATTTCTTCACACAGTTTTTCTGTGTCATCACTCAAGGAACTCCTGCAATGTCCCTCTTCAGTTTTTAGTACTACATCTTTATCTGTAAAAGGGCCACAAGAGAATGGTGAAGTGGAACACTGGCCATTGTCTAAGAAACAGTGAAATATGTTTCCATAATTGAAACCAGTATTTAGAAAGTGTACATATTTTCTTTCATTTTCTAAATGTTGACTATTTCTACTGTCTAGTAGTAACTCAGAGTTACAATTTACTATGGATGTTGTTGACAATTCAGGTAGAATACAAACATCTGATTTAGCAGGGACATTGTGAATATTTTTTATACTTGCAACTGTGCTTTCTTCAATGTATTTTTCATTATTAGGATTAATTTGCCTTACAAGTGGAATCTGGTCCATTTCCTCAGAATCAGTACTGAGAGGAATTTTTTCATATGTGTCAAAAACAGAAAAAAAGGGTACTTTTGGAAGACTGCTACAGCAATTTTTTTGCAATTCTCTACAATTGCCATACTCTTTTTTGTCAGAGTTTTCTTTGTTAGCAGTTCTCAAATATTTTGGAATAAGATTTGTGGCTTCATGTGCAAAGTTCACACTATTTGCGATTCTCCTGCTTCTGTGTTTTTTATTTTCACTTAAAACAGAATGCAAAGTTTTCAACTTTTCTTTAGGAAAAGCAATATTATGTATTTTTCTTTGTTTCTTCTTCTTCTGCTTTATTGTAGCTACCAGTATTTGAAAATTTGAACATTTATTATTTAACTTTTCAAATTTCATTTTTGAAATTGAAGGCAAATAATTCAGAAGTCCAAGGTTTGTTTCTGTCAATATTTTTTTGGTACTGCACCAATTTATCTTCCATAAGAAAGAACTATCAAAATTGTCCATTGGTAAAAGCAGTCCATTAGCAACTAAAAGTTGCCTTTTACTATCTTTTTCTTCACTGTCAAACATTGAAATGATACTATGCATTCCTGTACTACCTCTGGATAAGAGGCAGTATTGTTTGGCACATCTCCCTTCAGATGACACTCTTTGTTGGTTATGAAACAGTGCTCTTTTGTGTAGAAAAGAAGCTTCCTTGAGTTCAGCTACAGTGCTAGAATAATGAATTTTCTGATATTTATGATGTAATTGAAAACCAACATTTTTTACTAATTTAGGATTTATAATTTCTTTACACATACCTCGATAAGTTATGTATTTTTGCTGAGATTCTGTGTTTCCTTTCAAACTATTATTTATGTGTGAGTTTCTCTTAACTTGTTTTCTGCAATAGAAAGGATTTTTCTCCACTGGTATACATTTTTCTTCAGCTGGATGTAAACAATTTATATTATAGGGGAAAAAAGCAAGGTTTGATTTTATTGTGTTCACATTTTGCTGTTCTGAAACAGTAACTTGCAAATAAATATGTGTACTATTAATACTGGTTATTAGCTCTGGAATGCTGTATTGTTCTATTGACTTTAACTTTTCATACAAATGAAACCAGCCTATGCTACTGTCATTCTCTTGATATTTAAGCACATCTTTATTTAAAGATCCAGGTCTTGTCTTCAGACCTCCTAATAACATATCATGAAAGAAGATTTTTAGTTTAGTCAGCTTCTTCTGCTTCAATATATTGTCAATGTCTCTTGTATCTGGCAAATCCTGTGTAGTACTATAGGGGCAATTGCCTTTGGTGACAACACTTTTAGATAAGTATCTTTTGATGTCAAGTATTTTTGTTGTAGAAAGTTTTAATTCTGATTCATGTAAATTCCTGTTACAGTTAGCACAATGCATGTCATAATTTATGTTTAAATCTCTGTTCCTTAGTACTTCTGATATCAATGGAACAGTTGTTTCTTGTATATTAAATGTCACATCCTCATAACTGACTTTTCCCCATGTTCTTTTCAAAATATTGGTAGAGTTGATACATTCATCACTTTGAGGTGTTCGAGAACCAAAGTATGTGTGAACACTTAGGTATATGTTTGGTTCCTGGTCTTCATCACCTTCTGCATTTCCTAGCTCTTTCTCCTTGACAATCCTTTTAGCAAACATTTGATTACACTTGACACTATTGATGTTGTTCCTTAAATTAGTCTCAGTTATTTTTTCTCCTTCTTCTGCTAAAGCCAAAGTCTTTTGCTTACTAACAGATGGGTGGTTACTTTCATTAAATTCAGAACAAACACTAGCAGCATTCACAATATTTTTATCATTTTGAAACTTTTGTTTCCTTATCATAGATATGTTTTGGGAACAGTAAATCTTTTCAGATTGCATCACATATGTTTGATGTTTAAAATTCTTCTGTTCTATCTCCTTCAAATTAGTTGATAACATGTTACTATTTAATGTATTTGAAGCAGTAGAACATTTGCTTATGTTCCCTTTCATAAAAAAATTTGTTTGGGGGATTTTGAATGTTTGTATATTTTTAAACAATTTTAATGTAGGAAATGTATGTGATGAAGCATTTTTTTCTTTATTACCTAGTTGTTCAACAGATTCACTCTCATTACCATAATGATCTTTATTTTCTTCAGTGGGCAATTTTTTTAAACTGTTGTTTCTGTCCTTATTCTTTATTTCAGAAAATGTAGAATTAATGCCACATAAAAATGGAACATCTAAAAGCTGGTGTTCTTTCCACTTGTTATCAGTACCAATTTTCTGACTTGATGTTTTTACCTGAAACAAATCTGTGTTTAAAGATGAAAGTGAAGCATTTAATTTAAGCTCATTATCATTGTCTGTTTTATTACTTTCTGCTATATTGTTGCTGTTTTTGTTTACATTCCACATATGGTATAATCCTGCTTCAGAAGAATGTCCATTTACATTCAATAAAGAGTCATCTCTTATAATATTATGCTCTTCATTTTCAATATTCCATTTTTTAGTGAACAGTTTATTTTCTAATAGCCTGCATTGCAATTTTTCATTAATCCAAGGTTTAAAATCTATAAACTCACACATGTTAGTTTTTCTTTCTTTACCACTGATTTCCTTTTCTAATCTCCAAGCATTTTGACTGAAATGAAGTGATCCTTCTGATAAATATATAGGTTTATTTGATGACTTCCTACATTCATCCACAAGGTACGTTCTTTGTTCTAACTGCTGTTGCTCCTCTTTCTCTACACTTGTATGATTATTTTCTATTTTAATTCGTTTTGGATATGGGTACCCATCAGCTTCATTTGATGACATGGATAAAAATGTCTGGTAACACAAGCCTTTCATCCTCAGAAATATCTGGTATTTGCTTGATATAGCAGTCCTGAAATGTAAAGAAATATGCAATGATTAAAAATTAAACAATTTCCAGGGTCACTTGAGGATTATGTGTCTACAGGGCTTGACCTCAGCACACCAGTGGAAGTATGGCTTAAAGTGTGCCTTATGGAGTGTGCCAGGCCCCCTGATTCGAAGACCATGGGGAAACCATAGAGTGGCAGATTTCCTACTTTAATGGCCATGGGGAAAGCTACAAGGTCACTGGCTTGTCAAGGAATGGAATAGTCCCCCATGGCTCTGAGGTAGGAGGGTATTTACCCTGTGCAGGCAGGAGCCACTAAGTCCTGTCCCTCCGTACAGTGAGGTAATAGTTCCCCTCAGTGAAGCCTGCCTTTCTCTCTCCTCTAAGTGCAGCAGCTCTCCCCACTCCCTGAGGCAGCTTCCCCCTCACAGAGGCTGTCTGCCTCTCTCTCCCCTCTCTGAGGCAGTTCCCCTTGTCACTGAGGCTGCCTGCC